TACCTTGGCCCACAGCCACTCTTTCCGAATGCAACGAACAAGATCGTAGCAGTTGCCGGGTTTCGGGTTTTAGGGCTTTGTGCTTTCGGGTTTGAGATTTTACGGGCATGTGTTTTAGGACTTGGGACGCCGTTGGGACGCAGATGTTCTTTGGCGGTTATTGTGGGTTTAGGGTGTGAGGCTTTAATTTTCGGGGATTGGGGCTTGAGGCTTCCGAGTCTAGGCTTGCAGGTTCTTGGGCTTTATACTGCTCTCGGATTTGGGGCTTTGAGGCCTGCAGGCTTGGGAACAATCGAAGGTACGTATGACATGTAGCCCAGCTCGATGCCCAGTTCGTGTTGATTTAGGCAACATCAGTTAATGTCGGGTTTCTTGGAGGGGTTTGGTGTAGAGCTTCTTAGAATCAGAACGACCGATGCCCCAAACTCCAAACCCCAAGGATCCAAAGCCTTGAACTCCAAAGTCGTGGGCTTCAAATCCTGAGCCCTACAGCCCCGGAGCCCTCAAAGCCCTATATTAACGCTTCAAGCCCAAACCCTAAACCCCAAAGCCTCATTAGATCCTATAGCCAGTATATCGACGACATAGTATATATGTGTAAATGTATGAAGAGAAAGATAGGTATGCATGTATATATATATATAATTCATATATACATGTGCTCGTATTATGTATACATGCATAGTTATACACCAGCAAATATAATACACAATAGAGTATATGTATGTGTATATATATATATATACATCTGTACATACATACATACAGACATATGCAGACATGTGTATATACATATATATATATATACATATGGTATCCCTGAGATTCCCCAAAACGATTCCAAGCTCCGGCAAACCTAGTCCCGCGAGCTCTGAGCCCTCCCAAGCACAGCAGCTGGGATTTTGCATTGAGCTTAGGGCTTAGGGGTTTAGGGTTTAGGGTTTGGGGTTTAGGAGTTTAAGGTTTAGGGGTTTAGGCTTCAGGGTTTGGCGGGTTAGGGTTCAGGGTTTGGGGTTAGACCTCACCTGGCCGAAGCACCCTACCCGTATCTAATGCAAGCTCCTAAACCTCTCAGGTAGACTTCTTGGTCCAGAAAGAGGAAACCTGGTGTCCGAGTTCAACCACTGTGTGCCGCCTGGCTCAATCCGCACAACACAAAGCCCGCCGCAAGCCCCAGCCCTTCTTATGTAAGCAAATAACTATAGAAACCCTAAGCCCGGCCTAAACCCTAAACCCTAAACGGCCCTAAACCCTAGAGCAAGACAACTTCCGAGGTGAATGGTCGAAGACTGGTGCCAACAACTCTTGGAGCCTGGAGGTTTCTTGACCCCAAAGTTTTTGAGATCCCGACGCCTGTCCTCGTTTTCGGGACTGATTTTGGTTTCGTGATGCTTTAGGTGCAGCCAGATGGGAGAATCAATGCTGTAACCTATCCTGACTAAACCCTATCTAAACCTCCAGCTCGTCCCAATGTGGCCGAGGAATCCGGATGATGCTTCCAGCCGAACAAGAGCTTACCAGAGCAGCTTGGTGCCAGTGGATCCTTAGTGCACGGCTTTCGTGGGTTTAGATATGCCTGCTATGTATGTATTATAACCTCATCTAACTCGACCCTAGCTTGCTTGAGCTCTGGGTTTGAAACCTGCCGGGGGCTGCCTTCCTATATAGTGTCGCTGTGTTACACACATTGACTAAACATGTGTATCGTGTGTGTG